GATGGGACAGGACGGGGATGGGGGGGAGTAGGGTAGGGGCTGAGGGGAGCATGAATGGGACAGGGTAGAGAGAGCTGTGTAGAGTGGGGCGGGGCAGGGGAGACAGTGGGGCTGGGCTGGGGAGGATCGGTGGGTTGGGGAGAGGGACAGGGTCTGGAGGGGATGAGACAAAGGGGAGCAGGACTGGAATGGGTGGAAGTTGAGGGGGTGGGACAGCAGGAGGAGCGATGGGGTTGGGATGATGGGAGAGGCTGAAGAAGAGATTTGGGGTAGGGCAAGGCTGAGGGCAGTGGGTTCGGGGGAGCAGGGTGACTGTGGGGGAGGCTGTTGGAACGGGGGCAGCGACTGTGGGCAGTGGGTTCGGAGTGGGAGGTACAGGGGGGACTGCGGGGGAGGCTGAGGGAACAGAGTCAGGGTGGTGGCTGAGGGTAGTGGGTCGGGTCTACACTGGCACCTCTCAGGATTGTTTTGCCAGATGGCAGACCTGCGCCAGCGCTACCCTAGCAATGGAAGAGTCCTCAGTGGAAATGCAGATGTCATGACAGAGACCCTCCTCGTCACTTCAAATCTGGCGCTGCTCTGGTCAGTCACTAGGCTCTTGTCATTTCAAACCCATGCGGGGTATCTGGCACTTTTTCAGTTCTCAGGTTAAGAAAAGCCTCTGCATTTTGTGAGGGCTTCAGCATTCACTTTCCTACTTGACAAACTGTCTGCCTGACACATTACTCCCAGGGTATTCATCTTTATTCATTGTCGGCAGGTCCATCAGATTAACGAGCAACACAGGGGGAACAACACATTGGTGTCAAGGATTTTTAATTTTTCAAACCACTTTGGCCTCAACTGCCATAACAGCAAATCTGGAAAGAGCAGATGGGTGTCAGGATGGGTTTGGGTGTTTATTTATTTATTTATTTGAGTGAAAATGTTTGGGTCTGAGCAAAGGCTGCAAACTTCCCTTTGGAAACCCCTGCTGATCCCCCAGGGGCTAATGACAGCCTGGAATCCGGGGACAGACTTCCACATCCATGCAAGGTGAGATGATGCGGGGGGGGGGGGAGGGATTGTGGGGGAGGCAGAGGGAACAGGGTCAGGGGGGCTGAGGGCAATGGATTGAGGGTGAGGGCAGAGGGGGGACTGCAGGGGAGGCTGAGGGAACAGAGTCAGGGTGGGGGCTGAGTGCAGTGGGTGTGAGGGGAGCTCCCCCAGAGGGACCTGCCAGGGGGCCAGGTGAGCCCAGCAGTGTTTAACTGGAGCGGCTCCCAGGTAGGGTGACCAGATGTGCCGATTTTATAGGGACAGTCCCGATTTTTGGGTCTTTTTCTTATATAGGCTCATATTACCCCCCGTCCCGATTTTTCACACTTGCTGTCTGGTCACCCTATTCCCAGGAAGCATCCAGCAGGCAGGTCCCTCCGGCCCCTTCTTAGGGTCGGGTCGAGGGGAGCGGGGCTGCCTGCGGCCGGAGTCCACAAGCCCCGCCCCAGCACGCAGCAGAGCGAGACCTCCTGCTAATTCTCTGTGTGCTCAGGGCAGGGGCAGGGCTACGCTCTGCAGGCTCATGCCGGCCCGGCGGCGGGCCCCGTGGGCTGGCGCCACCACGCCGGGAACTCAGCTGCGCGCTGCCCCAGGGAGGAAAGGTGAGTGGCGCCGGCGGAGCCGGATTGCCGCCGTCCCCCGAGACCCCTGGTATAAAGGTATCATGGCTGAGGGCACGCAGTGTCACATGTGCACAGCTGATGGGGGGCGGAGATTCTGGGCTCCACTCGCGCCTCCCAGTGGGGCGGGGAGACTGCCCGGGCCTCCCTCTCAGCTCGGAGGTGGCTGGCCCCGCCTCCCTTTCCCCACAGCAATAGCTCGGCTCCGCGGCTGGGGCGGTGCTCAGACCCGCGTGGTCCCGGTTGCATAGGGGCGGCTGGTGGGCCCAGTTCCGTGCCGTGTCCATGAGCAGGGGAGACTCTGGGCCATGCCGCCCGTGCTCAGCGCCCTCTGGCTGCTGCTGGCCGCCGCGTTCCTCGCCGCGCTGCTGCTGCAGGTCCGGCGTGGGGGGCCCGGACCCAGGCCCGGCCTCTTCCAGGATCTGATCCGCTACGGGAAGACCAAGAGCGGCTGCGGGCAGCGTCCAGCCTGGCTGCGGCTTCTGTATTTGCCCAAGAGGTGAGGGGAGGTTGCCTCCGGCCGGGAAAGCGCCGGGTCTGTTAGCCCGTCCCCGGCACAGGGACACCCGCCCTAGCAGGGACTCTGTCTGTCCCCTCTCTGTCCCCTTCCGCTCGGGCAGTGTGGCTGTGCTGGGAAGGCTGGTACCGGCCCTTCCCCATACCCCCGGCTATGGAGAACCCCACGCTTGCCATGCAGCCCTTAGCTCTGAGAGTGGGGTGTGCTTGTGCAACAGACCCCTTCTATAACCGTGTAAAGGGCTGCAGGAATGGTGCCAGTCCAGTCTGGCCTTGGAAAGTCGTGAGATTGGCTTGAAAATCTTATGGGTTTTTAAATGTTTGTTTGTTTGAATTAATGTTGGGTTATGTTTTTTGTGGTCATCTAGTGGTTTCTGGGCTTTGATATACACTCCTAATGTTTTCCAGTTTTTCCCTGTAATCATGGGAGCTGGAAATGTAGGTTTGTTTTGTTTTATAATGAAAACTCAGGTTACCATGTAATCCCATGACTCCAGAAGCTGGAGCTTTAAGAACCCACCAGATATTGTGAGACTGTGACAGATATACATAGCTGTACATAGATTACATTTTTATGTATCTATTTGGGGCACTTAAGTTTTAATAGAACCCCCTTATGTTTTTTTAGCAAATTTGACTACTAAATTGTTTATAGTTAATGATTTTCATTAAATAGTTTTTTTGTTTTGATTATTTACAGACTTTTTTTTTGGAAAAGGGCCCATTTTGTCTTCAGAATAGCTGCAAAGAAACCAAGAATTTTTTTAAATACTTTTATAATGTTTAACTGCTTAATTTTTTTAGCTTTTGCAAAGTTAACTTTTTACTTTTTTTTTTTTAAATTACTTGCTTATTTTTTAAAATGACATTTTAATTAACTTAGATTTTATTATTTTAAGTATTGTTTTAGGGATTTAAATTCCCCATGTTTGCACTTACTTTTGCCATTACACCCAACCCTTAGGGCTTTTAACCAGTCTTCCAATTTCTTTGTCTGCTGCCTGTCTGCTTGGCTGGGCCCAATCCTGCTTTTTTGTTGAACCGCCCCTTTTCATGTGCACAGGCTTTGTTTCACTACCAATTTAGCAAGGAGGGTGGGCTCCTTAACTAGCCCCACCCTTCCTCATCCCTTTCCTTTTTGTAATTACCCATAGGGTGCTCTTTTTGTAGTTGGGGGTGCCGTACATATGATCACCTCCCCCTTCACCTGCTGGACCTCTCCTTGGTCATAATGAGGGTCACTATAGAGGTGCAACAAGGTTCCGCCCAAAATTGAGGATCCTCACAAAGGGAGAGATCAAAGCCCTCATCCGAATCATCCCCCGTGAGGCTCGCCGGACCGAACGCATGGCCAACTGACGTTTTAACTTTTAATTTTTTTTTTATGGCAAGGACACTGCTGTTGCAGCGTCTGGCGAACACAAATCGGTAAATTTTTGACAAGTGTTTGAAGCACTGGTACTTGCTTAGCCAGTGCTTTCAGGCGGGTGCATTTTGCTTTTTCCGCCTGAAAGTCCTGTCTTAAAGCCTGTAACTTGTCCTGGGCATAGGCTTGGGTTGCTGCCTGAATTTGTGCTTTTAGTTCCTCAGTTTCCACTAGCAATCGGGCACACGCCTTGGGCCTTCTCCCCAACTCCTCTTTTTGTCCCGACAACATTTGATACCACGTGGCTGCTGCAGTTCAAATTAATTCCACAGCTGCCCCTAGGTTCTTACCCTCCTGCTTTTTATACTTGGCATATAGGTTTAACAAATTCTGCCAAGTTTGCACCCTTCTCTGAAGCTCCGCTGCAGAACCCCAGGGATTGTATCCCACCTTGGTGAGAGCCTTTTCCAGCTGGGAGAGGCTTTCACCCCCTCTTTGAAAGAGGCAGCAGGATTCCGTTCCTCTTTGCTGCATCCCCCGTGGCTCGGGCATCAGGTTCACCTGCCTCCCATGATGCCAGCTGACCGGGCAGCCGGACTACCATGTCCGCGCTCCCTAATACCCGTACGTCCGGTCTCGAACCCATCGCTGATACCATTGCCCACGACTGTGGGACTCCCGAGTCCACAGCTGTAGCCTTCTGTTTCCTGAACATGAAGTATCAGAGGGGTAGCCGTGTTAGTCTGAATCTGTAAAAAGCAACAGAGGGTCCTGTGGCACCTTTAAGACTAACAGAAGTATTGGGAGCATAAGCTTTCGTGGGTAAGAACCTCACTTCTTC